TTGTTCATTATTTCATGTTATAGATTAGAGGTTTCAATTAAAAAAAGTTAAAATATGATAGTTAGACTCAGAGTCGTTTATACCAATAAATTAAATCATCCATGTTGCCAGCAAAGTGACCATTAGCCACATTTTATAAAATATTTCTTTCAATTTGAACTTCGTCGAAAAAATAGAGAAGTTATTCATGGAATTCTCCAGAGAGGACATGTTCATAAAAAAACGACTATATAAGTGCGGAAATTATAACAAATGCACATCCAGCCGCTGATTAGTATTAGAAAGATGATAAATGGCTTCATCTGTACAAACTAATTGATATTTAAAAATTGCAACTTCTTGAATAGAAAAATTAAAACTACTGCGAAACTCTCCTTTTTTTGTTTGCATGATGTAAAGGTATTTGGTCCCTCATCATAGCCTACATCTCAGCTCAGATTTGCCTCTACATAAGTCAAGGTATTCTAAGTGCAGCACTGTAATCGCATCACAATTGTTAAGGCTATTCAAAAGAAAAGTCATTCGGAAATGATCTTGTTGCACTATTTTAAAATAGTATAAAAATTAAGTTTAATTTGATAAAGGAAAATGGATAACTTGCGAAAAGAGTCGAGCAATATCCTGGGTTTCAGGGTGAGTCTTTGAAGTCAAAACATTTAGAGTTTTTAGAGTATCCTTAATTTGTTCTTTCAGCCTAAATAGCTTCACCATACTGCACATGCACTTGACATGAAAAAAACAATTTATAAAAAATTCATCAATTTATTGGGGAGAGGTGCGGATCACGAACACAACAAAAATCTTAACTGTACTGAGAAGAAAATGCCCAGTGAATCTGTATATTCATGTATTATAACGTTCTTGTATTGAATTCCACGCATGACTGTACAAGCCGAGAAAGAGGGCGAAATCGAAAAAAGTCACACGGGCTAGACATTACCGTTGAGTAATAAAAAAAACACGCGTAAAGTTTCAGTAAGCTACGTTCATTAGTTTAGGAGATCATTCTTATAGGCAGTGCCTATGTATAATTTTGGAGACCGGCCGCAAGTCTGGCTGCAAGACCGGCTGTAAAATTGTCCGAAGTCTGAAGAACGATCGTACACAAATGGTAAGGAGGAGCTATGCAAAAAAATTAAAGAAGCCATAACTATTTTAATTTCCCAATTTCGAAATTGGCTCAATAATGACAATGGTAAATGTTTCAATTAAGAGAATCAGGGCTTTACTAGTTTAGGGTTTATGTGGAAATTTTCACCCCAAATCAAAACCTGTAACATCGCGATCGTCCTTTGAACTCAACATGAAACGAAACTAATAGTAAAAAATCTAATACGAAAAAATGCTGTAATTTTGACAACAAACGCCGTTGATCATCAGAGTTCTTAAGATAAAATAATCAAATGTGTGTTTTGTTCATTTTACACGGTGAGCTGCGGAAAGTTAACGAGAGAGCTTGTAATAGCTTGTGGCCCGATACCGTAACTACGTGTAAGTTATCAGTGGCATATTTGTGCAGTTTCTGGGTATTCATTTCAGTGGTCAACTGGCCCCTTAAAATATATACGAAAGAAAACAAATTTCTCCTGAAATTTTACATCCAATGTAATGTATTATATAGCGGCAGATATCGCGCATATATATACGTAACCTTGCGAGACAATTCAGAAGCAGTTTTGTTGTCAAAATAATTATTTACGATAAGAAACGGAGAGGAAATCAATCCATGGAAATTTTGATCAAATGCGAATATAATGACGACGCACAAAACTAATATTACTTTCTGAGGCGCATGTTTCAGCGACGGTTCAGATATTTGTAAAGTCATTCCTCTTGATAAATGCGGGATCAATGGAATGCATTGATAAATAAATGACGCAATCGAGGAATCGCTTCCAGAATTATGATTGGGACAGATATGCAGGCGAGTTCGGAGAAGTGTCGATCCAGTGAACAGCTCTGAAGTATAACAGCTCTCAACCTGCTACAGACGTCCACACTGTTTATTAACGTTTTTTATTATAAAACTATTCCCTACAAGAAATTCGTTTTGTTGACATCAGAGCTACGATGAATTCTTGGCCGGGATTTGTGATCCTTTGGTGCTGGTGCGAGTTCGATTTTCAGAAGCTGGGCACTAAGAAATGTTCACGCAAGTAGAGTCATATTGCAATCCGTTCGTTATAAATTTCATATTTAGTCGATGTATAACAGCATATCCTTACTCTCTGAGTCAGGACCGCTAGAATTTACACTAATTAATGGAACTTACAAGCACCATCACCTCATGGAGCTCATTTACTAACTTTTTCTCCACCTCTACGTGCGATATCGTGGAACCCAGCCCAGAACTACTGAACACGGCAATTTTCATTGACATATTAGAAAACGATTCCATCCCTAACTAAATCATTATTTACCGCAGTGGGTTCAACATCGTGGCCCTCGGCTGGATTCAGCATCATAACCCCTAAGAACGACTCCAGTATGAATAATTTCATATATCATAACTCATAATGACTTTGTGTAATAAATTGGCAATTGCCGTATTTTTACATAAGTGAGCGAGTTGTCATTCTAACAGAGTTGCCGACACGAGTAGAGACGCCTTTGAGCTCAGCAGGCAAAGTTTGGTTGCATTCGCAGTTTGATCGCATGTGAAGATATGAGAAAAATATCTCTCTTTTGGGTTTTCTGTAAAAATTTATATAAATGTATATATTTCTATAATTGATAACTCAGAAGTTCGCGACCGAGATTGATTGACTCAGAATTTCCGAAGTCTTCCTCTACAGCGTATTTGGAAATCATATTGGTTAGAGTCTCCCCAACTATCCAGTCAAAAATATTCACTTAGCAATTTAAATTCCATCTCTGCTGCTGAAGCTCACAATTGTCCTTCTTCTACAAATAAAATGATCATATATTTTCTTTCATAATTTTATGTTCACCAGTGAAACCATTTTAACATGAATTCTATTATCAAGGCCAAAAATTCAATGTAAAAGTTGCACAGAAACAATTCAAGAAAACAAAACAACTGCAACCTCATTTCGCAAGTTTTTATATATATGCTTAATATCCACCGCTCATAGCTTACTTTTTTTAAAGATTTCTATGAATATATTTATTTTATATAATTTTGGTCGGTAGCATATCGTAAATGTACTGAAATTTATAACAATGTATCACGGAAAACCAGCACATAGATCACGGCTGGCACAACTACATGCTAATGTCTGTGGCAGATTCGTGGTTACTTAAGCTATTGGCTGGATAGTTAACTTACAATATACAAAATACGGACAAAATTACACAAATATGAGTTCGAATGCAATACCTGAACGATGAATGTTTTTAACCAATGAGCAAACTTGTTAGGTAATTAATGTGCAATTATGTTGTCTGTAATTTTATGAAGGAACGCAGATTGTTCACTGGGATTCTCGATATAAAATCCTCAAATGAGCGTTTTATTCATTTTACGTGATGAGTTTTGCAATTTTAACGCTGATGCTTGGATTAGCTCATGCTAATTTGTGTGTTCAACCCCACAACTACGTGCAAGTTTCATTGGCAAATTTTCAGTTGCTGCGTATATATGCTTTTTGCCGAATTTCAACATTATCATAGACAAAATATCATCATATACAATATTCTACTGAAATAAACTACTATCGTAAATGAGCAGCAAATGTGCATGTATGCGTAAACTTGTGAGGCAAGTCACATGCAGTTATGTTGGAACGTCGTGATTTCGGAATAAATTGGTTGAAGAAAAATCCATTTTTTATGTTACTCAGACTTTCAAACAGTAGCTATGGGTCGGAGGCGAATCATTTCCACCAACATAGAAATAATTTTACCTCTTCGTTCGTAAATTTTTTTGATCCCATCCCAAAAATCGCGCCCAAAACTAAAAAATTAGACTCGCATCAAAGAATTTTAAGTCACGACCATGAATTCAGCACCCTGTTTTATCAATGAAATGAATTATATAAATTGAGTAATTTTTATATGATGGCAAAACGAAGGCAATTCCCTATAGAGTACAATATCATAATTACCAGTTAAAATCAACAGTCTAGACGTCAAAGTAACGTTGCGGATAACCCAGCCAACCATCAACCAGTAATGGTGGGTGTAGCCGCAGCTCATTAATTTAGAGATTATGTAGTGCGAAATGCCCATATGGCGACACTTGCTAGAATAAACATTTTACGGACACGTATCTCCGCCGGCCACTTTTACTCTGTCCGCGACCAGGGTCGCTTTACCTGTTCAGTGTTCCTAGTTCATAAGTTTTTGTGTATTTTCTTGTGTATTTTTGAGATTCTGTGATATTTGTCATAACCTTGCCAAAGTTGTATGTTGTATTCATTTTTCGTGTTTTTCAGATATAATCAATAATTGCAACTGTTCAGTTCCTTCAATATTAAACGAAGAAACTTAATTAGTATAAAATTATTGAACCTCCTTTTAAGCCTATAAAGCTCAGTACGTCAGGAGGTGTAAGTCATGCAGATATATGTTTGTGTCAAATTGTGTGTGATGGCGCTGCCAGGCATTCATCTTTAAACAACTTTACGAGCATGGCAATTTTTTTACCGGCATATTACGGCGCAGATTGCTAAAATGACAATATAAATTCCCGCGCTCCTGTTACATCTTCCTGATTTGATTATCCTGTCCGTGGTCAAGTGGGAGCTGACTAGCTAGGTCTCTTGAAACAGGTAAAACCTTCAAAGTTTTCAATTCCATGATCACGTGACCAAGCCTATCATCACTCACCAGAACTGACATCCTCTACATGATTACATCTTCCAGGTCTGGCAATGGCAGTTCACCCAGTTGGTCAGTTAATGTTGGCATGTTAGAGCCTAGAAGTTTAGTTTAGGAAATGTACATCGAGCCGTTTGGCGCTGGCAGTGAACCATCTCTATCAGCAATTGGCAATGATTGGCTATGTGGGTCGGCCTGTGAATGCTTTGGTTGTTTACGGGAGGTTTTCTGAAGCGTTGATGATGCAGTCGCAGAAGAGCCGGTGTCCCCGTCTGAGTCAGACATAGACGAACTGCCCCCCTTACGCCGCTTCTGCCGACGCACCGGCATCCTTTACATAAATAAGGAGCTTCTAGCCTCAAGCTTTTGCTTCACACACCTATCTAAAATTACAATATTAAATATTCAACTATATTTATGTGATTTTCACAGACGGGCACAGAGCACAGTAACCAGAGTCAGTCCTCAACCGTGGCGTAACCGGAACCCCTGGATGACCTCACTTTGGGCAAATATAAGTAATACTAATAACCGGTCAACTCCGGCTTTTTCATATTTCATCCTGAAGACCGGAGGTCCTATTTAGGCTATTGCTGACGTCGATCCGAACTTTCTTTTTGTCCCCCCGAGAGCCTCCATTTAAATAAAACTTCACTGTTGGAAACTTTTTTTGTTGGCAAGATCTTGCACGAAAGATCTTAAGAATATAACATATTTGAATTCTTGGGTTATCAAATTTGTGATCGATACTCGTCCAAACGATTTTCATTTTCTGTTCTTTTAGTGGGTGGTGTTTGGTAATGCATCTCTTTTGGCACAAAAGCATCATCAGGAGAATTACGAGTTTCACAAAATATATCAACACTCCCATCAATTTTCAGGGTGGCCCAGTGTTACAGTTCAGAGTACCAAGATTGGCGCAGAGAGGCGCGGGTTCGATCCCAGCTGTGTGCGCCAGTTTCTGGTCAGAATCGGCAGAAGGCCGGGTGGTTTAGCACAGCAGAATTGAAGCAGTGATGAGTGGCGAGTTCGAGACCGCAAAATTCTGTGAATGTTCTGCTATGTTAAGAATCGGCGACAGGCCTACGGCCTACAAAAAGCTGAAACCGCTATTATAATATTATTATTATTATTAACTGAGCACACACATTATTATTAATTTTCGGCCTTTTAGCCTACAGCAGAAGAATAAGTCTTGATGATGCAGTCCTTTCCGAAGCGCAGCCGTAGGCCACAAATTTTACTCTTGAATAAGCCCTGAAGCCAGAGCCCAGCCTCATCATGCTTTTAACTCAACTCTGTCACAGAAATAGAAGCCGCAGACTGCGCTGGAACACCGTAATCCAAACCAGTGACACGCTGTCTAAAGATAATAGCGCCGTAGGTCTTCAGCCGATACATAAGCATGTTCGTTCATAATCACACAGTTCCACATCCGGCGTAACCTATTCACGTTGTTGCGGTCACAGTTGACATCATAGGTCACTATGCCCTTAGTGTTCTAACACACGGAAAGTCATATCACATTCAATAACCCTAATTAGTTTTTGTCCCGTTAAAAGTGTAGCGATAACATCATCTTGGTTACCTGAAACTACTAATTATGAAGCAGCATGAAAGTGACGTGGTAAAATTAACAATTTTTATTTGCTATAGTTACTCTTAATTACCACCAAGATTGGTGTTGACTGTCCAAGCAGAACGACCTCCCATCTCTAGCACTATTCGAATACGTTGATAGATGGCCAACAGTTCAACTGTCAAACACGTGTAACCGGAAACACCGCAGCGACGTTTAATTATTTACTGGTAGCGTGCCGATACAATCAACCGGAGAGACTATAGGGGTCACGGCCAATTTCCCATTACTACCGATCGTGGAAGGTATTACCTTCCACGACACGCGAACGGTACATCTGCAGCTGTACCAGAACGCTGACAAACATACTCGAGTGCAGAGGTAATTAGCCCCCACAACTCGAGAAAAGCTCTATAGGAGCTTTACTACCGTCAACTGGAACTAACCAAGATATCCACCAAAGCCTATTAGTTAGTGGAGATTATCCAGAACAATAGCGGAATTTTGGAAGTCCAGATCAGGATACCAGGATTAGAAGCGCCTGCACCCCGACTTAGTACAACTGAGCACACACAATTTGCCCTCGAGGGGTAACCAAGCTAAAATAACATTGCCACAATCCCTAGTTAACAGCGCAACAAAATGGACTAGCCTCACAATTCAGGTACATATGAAGATGATATAATACAATAAATTAACCATAATTTAATCCATTGGCAAACTAATCACAAGTTAATAGTCGAATAATTCTAAACTAATTCTAAAGAGACCGAGCTCTCTATCGTCCAAGACTACCTATGGGAATGAATAAACGTGCACCATCGCGAGGCTAGGAGCAACTCGACCAATCACGTTGGAGCTACAACATTCAGTCTCGTCCCAAGACGCTAATAACTAAATCCTATGAATTAACAAAATATTATCACAGTCAAACGAGATTCCATATTCTAGTCATAAAATATATATATTCAACCATTATTGAGTCACTAATCTAACAAAAGAACACCATCAAAATAACACGTGGTCAAAACGGTACTCCTAAAAATAAATAACATACGTTTAAGAATTACTTTTTAAAGACAACACTTCTAAAGAATCCAGTGTCTCCATTGTTAAAGATGTACAATGAATTTCTCATTTTATTTTCGAAATTAAAAAATTAATTTTTTAAAATTTTGTAATATATACAAAATTTTCAAAATTCTTTATTCTGTCAATTGATTCATGCATTGCCTCCGACTTCACACAAGTATGCAAAATTTCAGATCAATTGGACAGGTGGAAGTGAGTCAAATATCATTTATTAGATTTGTAGCTGACAAAATTATTTTGTCAATTTTTTTTTAATATTAAAATTTTTTTTTTAATTTTCAAAATTATTTGTTCTGTCAATTGATTCATGCATTGTCTCCAACTTTACGCAAGTGTGCAAAATTTCAGATCGATTGGACAGGTAGAATTGTGTTAAATATCGATTATAAGATTTGTGGAAGACAAAAAAACAAACAAACAAACAACAAGAAGTGAACTTAAAGAGAAGTGTTGTAAAAATAAAATATCACATGATATGTATCCCTTCACACAGGCAACAGTTCAACTGTCTGACTTCCTATCGCTAAAGAATCGCCCAAGGCGCGATACAATACCATGCACCTGTAACTTACATATGCAACACGCACCTGTAACCTGCGTATGCAACGCACCTGTAACTTGCTGTATAGATGTCATAATTTACGGTATACGAGAGCTCCTACAGTACATGATATGAAATACCTAAGTAGTCTTATTTCTGGTAGCTCTGAATATAAAATAAGAGTTTATTCACAAATTGTAATCCTTGTCAACATGTGTAGTAAATTAGATAATTAGATGTTTAAAAAGGAACTGGGCGAATCGTGGCCAGCAACTAGAAAGCCGCTTTAAAGGATCAGTTTAATAATTTGTAAGCCTGCAACATGAACTTTGAACTATCTAAGCTCCATGAACGACTGCGGAAGAAACGTCTAGGTGTGTGGTGTGACGTGTGTTATTCAGCTTGCAAAGAAACAATAGGATTTGCTCGTCGTGCACCAATGCTGAGAACAAACTCGCCCTTACTTACAATATTTATCACGGCGAGCGATATTTTTTGAAGCTGGCCGAAGAAAGGATGGATCTTTAAACAGTTTTGGCTTTGATATAGGCATAGCAAAATATTCGATTGGAATACCTCAAAGCGCCTCATTTTAAAAAGCGCCATAGGCTTAATCAGGAGGATCATTTAATTGATGATGTCGAACTGAAAGTGGTGATATTTGGCCTCTAAAGCAACAAAAGAAAAAATAGAAAATTGGAACGTTTTTGCATTGTCGGTCAATGTAATAAGCGTCTAGGGGCTGCTTCAGTAGAACCAAAGCAGCCTCCAGACACTATATTATTGCGCAATAATATTTTGGGTGCTTAATTAAGGCGGTCCCGGAAAAACTTCTACATTTACCAACCGATCTTTATGTAATTTCACACACATACGTTAAAGGTAAAGTAAAACAATTTAATCGCATGAATTTTTCGAAAAAAAATTAGAGAAAATAAGAAAAAGGCAAAATTAATTAATAGAAAACGGCAAAAAAGGAGGTACTCTAAAAAGTTTATAACTTTTGCAAATCACATGCTACAATATTGAGACACATTTCATTCAAGCTGTAACAAAATTATGCAATGGCTCTATAGCCCCGAATTTCAATTTTCCTCATCGTTTTTAATATTCATATCTGTATTAAATATTTATTTAATACAAGTTCAAAACTGCATTACGCACAAATTATTGCTTGCACATCCGCGATATTTGCTTTCTTGAACGCGCATCGTTGGTAGCTTTCAAACGAGCGCAGACACTTTGCAATTAATGCAAATAAGGATCAATAAATACCATTTTACCATTTATAAATAAAAATTTGTAAATACGGTATTGTTATAAAATGGTTATTTTATAAAAGTTCAAAACTGCATTATGCAAAAATTATTGCATGTACTGTACATCCATGATAGTAACTTTGTTGAACGCATCTTGTTTATAGCTTTCAAACGAGTGCAAGCAATTTGCAATTAACGAGAGTAATGATCTATATATACAGATTTAATTCAAGTAAATCTTTAAACATATTGTTGAAAAATGTTCATTTTATATATTTTTGAAATTGCTTTACGCAAAAACTAGCAGCTACAAAATGAGCCAGGAAAACGTAAAAGGCAAAATTACCAATTTTCACCAAGCCATATGCTTGGTATCACAATGGTATGCCATGCTTGGTATGATGAGGCCGGATGAGGAGACAGCTGTTTTTTTAAGACTTCGAAACACTGAGAGTTACTGGGAACTATTCACATGAATTGATTGATAGTTGAATTTAATGTTCAAAATACGACAGGAAAATACTTTATTCAGATTTTTTATTCGGTCTTGGAGCGTTAGTAAGGTAGCATTTCTCACCATAAACGATCAAGATAAACTCGAGGAGACGTTTATTGACTGTGCTACCTCTGAAGAGGAGGTCGGTCCGTTCATGGAGGAGGAGAGCTGAGTTCTGAAATGGTCGACTACTGAATCAATTTTTCTAATAAGGAACAACTGCAAGAAAATTAATCCGTTCTGAACTTTCACTTTCTTGGGAACAGTATTTTTGCTTTTAAATTACTATCAATTTAAAGAATCGTGAAATGGGGAAAGGATCTTATACCCGTTAAAAGAGTTTCCAACGTCAGTAAGTTTGCCATTCATCAGGTTTAGGAAATGTCTTAGAACATTTCTAACTAATCACAAACGGATTTTTTTCGATAACTTTGTTTCGTGAGATCCTGTCAATGATCTATATTCGAAATGCATTGATTAATTACATTATTTATATTCATCGTTTACTGGCCGCAAGGTAAATTATAAGCAGTGAGCAGAAAGGCCGCATCACTGGCATTTTTAAATAACTTGTACTAACTAAATCATAAAGAGGATGGTTCCGGAAAACACTGCACTAACATTTGCCGATACTTCGTTCACGCTTTTATTCTGCTAAAAGTAAACAAAGACCACTTTTCAACTGGCAACAAACATCAGAGAAGTGTAGCATCAATGGTATATTCTTCTCAGATTTCAATCCGTTTCACTCGCAGTGTTAAACTAAAGATACTGCTGTAAATCTCGACATTCAAAAGTCATATATTGCTACGGGGATCCGCGTACATACAAAACTATTATTAACCGATTTTCTTTCGGAGGCGAACGAGCATTTTGAATGAAAATTCATCATACTATATAGTTAAGCATGAAGTAAAGCACATTGCTACTTATTTAAGCTTAAGGAGTAGCAGACTTAGGTAAACTTCAAATTTTTAAAGTGAATTTAAGGATAATGGGTGGGAACAATTTGATTTCGTCGCATCACCAGGCTGACAATAATTTAATCTCGTACAGTGAAGAAAAACTTATACTAGATTTTAAAAATGTGGCCGAGGTTTATCCGCTAATTTAATATTTCCGGATAAAAACTTGCATGATTAAACCAAAAATATTTCGATTTTAGATTAGGTATAACTGTTGAACTATCCAGCTCAAGCTCCCCGTCAAATAGTCTGGGTTCATGACATTAATTATAGTCAGTGCCCCTCTACACATGTAATGCCGCTCTGCATCATGCGACGCGCAGTTTCATATCGCCACGAGTCAAGTGCTATATGAAAGTCATTAGATCATGTAGCCAATGAATCGATTCAATTGGCGGGACATAGAATTACATAAGAGGTGGTGGTAAGCTGCAGTATAAGATTGCACAAGCAGCTATTTCCACTCATTGAATCAGAATGCATTGCTTTAATAATTCTCGTACAAACTCTAATTAATGGAAAAACACCTAATTTACCGAAACTGCGGGGATATGATAGATTGGGTGGAGATTTCTCTACCAAAATTTCTGCTCAGGAGGACGCTGGCGATGAGCGGAACGGTGAGCAGGAGCAGAGCGGCGGGAGCAGGAAGACCTGCGCCGTTGCAGCCGTCGGTGTCGCAGCAGTGGATGGTCGCTGCAGGCATGGCCAGCATTACAGGGAGCAAGGAGATGGATTATGAAAGTAACTATTTAACTTTCTTTAATACGTGAGATTTTTAAAGCGCGATAATCGAGATTTTCGGCTCCGAGAAATCATCACTATTATACGGCGATAAAATGCACGACATTGAAATTGATCGGAAGCTTTTGAGTCAGTTCACGACGGCAGTTTGAATAGCCAACAGGTTATCAGTCAAGCAGGTTAGCTGGCTTGCAGGTTTACACGTGGCTGGCGAAAAGGACAAGATCATGCCTACAGCGCTTATGAAGCGACAAGGGCCAAGTTCAATTTATGAATCACAATTTACAGGGACATTTCTAGAGCAATTTGAACGTCATGAGACATACCAATTGTACGTTTCGTGCTTCTCCAAAAAAAAGTAATTATTGGAGCTAGTCTTTGAAGCAAAATCAGGATAGAAATCTTAAAAGTATTGCAAGACTCATTGATAAATGATTTATAGTTCAACTTGCCTCTATATAAAACCAAAACGTTTTTACACAGCGGGAAAGGGCGAGTGGTTTAATCACAGATTTCCTTGTCATAAGATTTAAGGTTTATAATTGATTGAGTTTTCTCTCCTTAGTAACGTCGTGCCGTTTGAACCTGCTGCCATCATTCTAGTAGTATTCCCCATTATCAACCTTCAAGACATAAAGAAGTGCACAATTTACCGATTTTTAATTATTTATTGCATTTTGAAATAAGCTCACTCACCACCCGACATGTTGCTGTATTTGTTCCGATGAAACTTATCGCCTCCAGGGCAGAACTGTTTTGGAAGACATGACTTCTCGACCAAGTCTCCCTGCTCCCCTTTCTGCGCAAGATACAAGCGGGGAATGAGAAAGAAAATTTCAGGCTTTATTGTTCGGTTGCGCCTTTAATGCTTCAAAAATGCGATAGTCAGAAAAATGTATTAAACATCGCCAATTTGATGTCGCCGTGGCTATTCATTGTTATGCGAATCTTCCTTCACAGGATCTATCTTGCTCTCATTTACATTTGAAAGTTCATTCTGCATACATAATTGTTCTCGTCGAAATACATGTGTAATGGTCAAGGGAAATTATATTTTCTATGATTAGTTTTGATTTCAATAACATTAAATAGAAAGAAATGGTGAAATGCTACCGAAAATACACGTGCAGAAATGCTTGAATTATACGTTAGAGGAAAATAAATCAGTGGCTGCACCATACGATGAAAAGATAAAAACCACGCGACTTTAGGAAACGTATAGTTTTTTTTCATTCGAATATAAGTATCGTCGCTTGAATAAGGCATGAAGCTTCGATATTCTTGGGCCTTGTGATTGCAGTGCAGATCTACTTCTGCTCAATAGGCTTGGTTCGGACGTCCAGTTTTTTATCGCTCGATCTTAATAATGAGATCGTATCTAATATGACGAAGAAAACTTCTATAACGCCATTTTGGCCAGATTTCGATCTTCTACCACTTGGCCATTTTGCTGATTTCGACCAGAATTTTCGCAACTAGTTGCGAGTTTCGAGCCCCCAACACGCGCTGCTCATAAACCGGGTGATTTTAACCACATGGCCACCCCCAGACTAAAATGCTGTGCGACCATCATAATGAAAGTTTCCCTTCCAATTATAGAAATGGTTTACTATCGTTCATTCATATATTTGGATGGCTGGACGCCTGCAAAAGTTATAAACATGTGCATGTATTAAGAAAGTGAAATGAAAAATAGAATATTATCGTTAGTGACACATGCCCTAGCAACTGCACTCGTCGGTCAAATACACCTCCGTTTTATACGACGCACAATTCATTGAAACTTTTCCAATTAATTGCAGTTATTTCTGATTGCAGCCATATCGAGACTTACTAGACAAGCGTCGTGTGCAGGAGTTCTGCACTCGGCAGGAGCTGCCGGAAGTTCTTGGCGGCAGTCTGTACAGAAGTAGCACTTGAGTGCTAACGTGCCGCTTGCCGCCATCAGGAACCATATGAACGATGCGGTAGACATCGTGGAGCCAAACCTCTGAATTACACAACTGGTTTATTATTAAAAAGTATCAGGTTAGTCTGGCATCGATAATCCCTGCAATTTTGGAATCACGAATCAAGTTCATGAGAATTGAATTAATATATTTGATTATCAGAGAAACGTCCGTTTAAACCCTCATTTTGCATATGAATCCCATTTGGCTATCGTTTTAAAATCTAAAACAACTAATGAATTTTTCAAGCTAAATTAGTATATGCCAATTTAAGAACCAAATTTAGATTATTTGTACAAAATTTCTTCGATTTTGAAATATCTCAATATTCCCCCTCTTAGACTAAATTCCAGGTCCAGACAATATCCTGACATCATAAGTGTGATGGACACGCGCCCTATATAACCACCCCTTCATATTTGCGGCGTCAAGCTTCAAACAAACAAACAAACTTTTGGAAGTATATATACGTATCACATTGGTGATAGTGTTGTGAAGCGTCCCATAACTGAGGTTTGACACACAAACTTCCTTCTTATTGTGCGGTGAGAGTGAACAAATTACACGTCTCAATTTCAGACCGCAGCGAGTCTGTTCAAGCATCGCACTTGCCTTTAGACTCGTTGATGACAAACTCATAGCCTGATACAAACTGATAGGAACGCGAGAAACAAAGCGCAACAGCTGATACGCGTTCGATAAGATAGTGACGCATCAGTGAACTGAATTTATTGCATTGGAGAGATTCCGCTCACGGTATTTAAAAAATGATGTTTAATGCATGATAAGCATTAGAGTTTCTATTTCCTGTAGAATAGACTAAATTGAGCAAATATTTCCTTTACTTGAGAGTGAGACTCATCTTGCCACCCCAATGTAAACTATGCCTCATAATCAAACCATTTCAAATTAATTAGCAAGCCCCACAATTGTTTGCGAATTCCTCTACATTGAAAGTTCTCAAATTTTATTCATATCGTAATCTAATTGGTTGGATTTCCAGGAAGAATAAGGATCTATGTTTGAGTAATTGATATTTTTGTTCGATATCGATAATGAATGAAGAACCAATGTAAGGACACATACAGTATTTCTCATTAAAAGTTAAGAAGTTTAACATGCAATGTCAATTCAGCTAGCTTCGATTTTAATACCTCGAGGTTCATAAATTCAATGGGTCTGCAACACAAAAAAGAAAATTAGCGACACAGTCCATTCAATTGATCAAGTCAAAAATCTTTAATTAATGATAATTAATGCTCAATTCTCCATACCGCAAAGAAGCTCGTCACATGGTAAATAAGATACCATGCATTTAAAGTTGTCTGCATTATTATCACAATTGATTTTAAGCTACATTCTTATATTTTAAAGATGCCTCTGTCAATGGATACACAGCGCGGGGAAAGCTTCGGGTACAATTAAGGAAAGGGCTGCAGTGAAACACTGGTAATATTAAAAAAATGTCTGGGGAAAAGTGCACAGTCTAACGCTAACACAATTACTCTCACAGCAAGGGTCATGCGAATCCATTCCAATCTGACATCTACCATTTTACACCACTCTAAATTCCTAGTTTACTTACCATAAGAAGCTGATCCCTGATGCGGTCCATCATACAGCTACGGTTTCGTTGAATGGGAATTGCTTTCTTGTTGAAATCAAACTGCGTTGCTGTTCTTCCCTCAACAGAACTTTGTTGGTCGCCTCTATAGTTCACCGGACTTGGTTGTCCTGTTTTACGCAATCTATCTGGTTGTTCATTGTCGCTCAACCAAGCTTGGTTGCTCTTCTTTACTTAACCGAACTTGGTCGTTCATTTCTACTCTATTTAACTTCGTTGGTCTTCTTTACTCAACCGAACTTACACTTTTAATTTCTTTCTGCTCCATCTAACTGCATTTGTCGTTTTTTTTCTTAACGGAACTTGGTTACTTTTCTCTAGTCCGTATAACTTCATTTGACATCGTTACTCAAGCAAACTTGGCCTATTTTTTCTACTCCATCTAACTTTTTGGTTTTGTTGGTAGTGCCTCGTCACTCAACCGAACCTGTGGCGCCGTGAGTGTTTCGGTGTCCTCATGATGGCCTGAGTAGCCGCCTAACTAGCTAACTTCTTCGTTAACACTCCAAGATAATGTGACTTCTTCGTAAAAACTCTAAGCCCCATATATACTCCATGCACTGAAATTATCCTAATGTACTAGACTGCGCAAATATAATAATACCGTATTTCCATGCCTCTACGCACCCACAAACTCTCGTACCCACGGTGTGTCGTCCCTTGAGTTTATGCAATCAAAGGCCGTATCATGCCTTCCATTGCTCAACGACAGTCAGCTGCCCTCAACTTCTAACTTCTGGCAACGCATTCAATATAATAACATCAAGTCGCACATCTATTATCAACGCTGTACTATCATATAGCTTTTTGCGGCCAACGAGTATGACACACTAAGTCTCATTTGAAACCTATTAAAAAATTACTACGTCTAACACAACTGAATCTAAGAATCAATCTAACAGCCGCCTGAACACTGAACTGAATATTGGATGTAACTTTTCGTTTTCATTTGTCGATTTATCGTTTATTTAATCATATTTCTGGTCGTCAGTTGCTTTTTCGTGCACCGAGGACTTTTGTTCTCCGCGGGTTGCTGCTGTATTAAACCTAAAATTCCTCTTTTCCTAATGACTTATTCTTAATAGCAGGAATACAATAATAATTTCGATCATTTTCTCATACTTCGATTCTCGCATACTCAGTCGCGCTGAACCATCACGTCCCTTCATCTCCTTTACTGAATCGCCTCGCCATCACTAATAAATTTCACTATCTCACATGTTCCTAAACCAAACGGACATAGTGAGTTAGTGACTGAGGTGAGTTATAGTGAGTTAGTGACTGGCCAGAGGCAGTGAGTCCGCTTGGTCTAGTCACCTCGAAAATAAGAGACAGCGATTGAAAGCTTCATAATTTTTTTCAGATATTGAAGTAAAATTAAAAATTTCGATATGGAAACATTTTGCTCATGGCTTCACATCTACGAGATTGCAGTTGAAACGCAGATGTGAGTAGCTTGCAATTTTCAGTTACAGAAACAGAGTGCATTCCAACACATTTTCTCGACTGCCGTGGGGACTGTGGAGGCACGATATCCGTTCAAATGGTATTTGATAGCTGGGTCAAAACATTCATACTTCTGACACCATAACCAATTTTAGAGGAAAATTGAGATTTCACGGAATATTAAATCACATTTTAATAAAACTACTTTAATACTTTTGTCGTCGTGTTTTAGCATTGTCTGCAACATGACTCATGTGACAATCACATGAGCAAGGATTAAATTGAATCGTTATTTGTGTATCTACATTACAATCGTGAATTTATTCTCATTTTACAAAATAGAACGAAAGAAATGACTGAGACAATATAAAACATAGATTGTTCTGACAAATTTTGCTCAGCGCAAGAGGACGTTGGCGATGAGCGGAACGGTGAGCAGCAGCAGAGCAGCGGGAGCAGGAAGACCTGCGCCGTTGCAGCCGTCGGTGTCGCAGCAGTGGACGCTCGCTGTAGGCACACAAACATGAAAGAAGTGCGGACTAAATACGACAAAAAAAGACAAAACGAAAGTGGTCAAAACTGAAGGAATATTTTCTATAAACTAGTGAAGCGACCAAAATTGAGAGAGCTGCGGAGGGGCGGTAGTGAAAAACTCTGCCTCTCGCACAGAACTAATCGAGTCTAACATCCCCTTCCCAGTCGCCCCTGGCAGGACGGGCAATTTTAAGAAGAAGCGAAAATGAGATGTTTTGATGGAGGAAATCATAATATATCATAGCAAGATCTTTCCGCTTGTCTAGATCTTTCCACAACATTTCGTTATTATAAAGGGATTAAACGTATGGTAATCACTGATACATGTCAGGCATGCACACACAGCTACTGAAAAAGCACTCGCCTGGTCATCACTTACATAACCGTGAGCCCCTGACTGAGGTGTTGAAGTCATCACTTACATAACCGTGAGCCCCTGACTGAGGTGTTGAAGTCATCACTTACATAACCGTGAGCCCCTGACTATGGTGTTGATGCTGTTGACAACATTCATCAACGCATCGCCTCCTTCACACGCGCTCTTAGGAACGCATGACTTCATTACGATATCTCCAAGCACCCATTTCTGAACAGGATACAAAACAGGGGTCCAATTTAATTAAAATCTTGAATTCTATAAAATGAATAACTGGGATCCAGTGGAATATAAAAAACGGATCTTATTGTAAAGGATAAACTTGAGCATCCAGATCAATTTGAAGCCATGGGAATGCTAGATCATCTTTGAAGAGTCACACGAAAATTACATCTTATTTTCATTCTGTTTTTATTCATTTTTAATCATGACATCCTGATGTTAATATGGCTTCACCGGTAGAAACTATTTGCATAGTAAAATCTTTTCGCATAATTTACCATCTCTAGGTGCACTGACAGACTTCAATTTGATTTTCCATTGAGCTACTTAATCGTTTTTACTAGGACAAAAAATACTCCCTCCCAGGGTAGCCAACAGTTATAAACGTGGACGACGGAATTTGATGACCGGCACATTAATGCTTGTAAATCAACGCGAAGTATTCATTTAATTAGTTTGAAAAACATAGCCTAGTCCTGAAAAAATTGAAAAAAGGAAGCGATAAACAATGTTTTTCCATAAGCGATAAGAAAGAAATAAATATTAGTTTATTATATTCCGCTATCAGATATAATAAACTAATATTTTATTTAAATATTTAAATAATCACATTAATGCTGGTAAATCAACGCGAAGTATTCATTTAATTAGTTTGAAAAACATAGCCTAGGCCTGAAAAAAATTGAGAAAAATGAAGCGATAAGCAATCGTTAGAAATAAATATTAGTTTATTATATTCTGCTATCAGATAACCCGCGACTCATCTCGCATATCATCCTAAGACACGAACGATAAACCTACTGCCCATCTCGTACATCTTCCCGAGACACGATCAAGGATATAATGTGCAAGTTATCAACGATTAATCAATTCATTTCGGTTTACAGAAAATATTTCTTTCTTCCGTAATTGCCCGTTATTATTAAATCCTGAATGTGCAGGGATTGACAGCGTGGCGGTAACTTTTAAAAGTTGACATTTGCAAGTTTTTTTTAAGTTTAATTATTATTCAATAAAAATTTGCTGTGCTGCGCTACGTGTATATTCTATTTTGTGCATCTTATACATATGAATATCTGAAAACCTTGCAGTAAGAATGAACTGTAATAAAGCTGCTCCCGATTTCTGTTACATTATTTCACAATTAGAAGCAACCTGTATTTATAAGACTGTCTAATATGTAGCATAAATTGTATGAGCGTCATATTTCCATAACACCTGTCATATATTGAACGAAGATTGAAGAATTGAACAAAACTGCCCCTCTTATACAGACCGTTAAAGTAAAGTTGGTATTAGACGCACCACCAAATCCATTGGGGGAAAGAAACTAGCTGATATTAAATATTTCTGAAGAATGCACCAGAGAGACCTAGAGCTCGCCGGAGTCTCACCCCGCAGGCGTCCATGCTTGATTTATATACACCAGGGAGACCTAGAGCTCCACCAGGGAGACCAGAATACACCAGGGAGACCTAGAGCTCCACCAGGGAGACCAGAATACACCAGGGAGACCCTGAGACCCCCTGGAGTCTCACCCCGCAGGCGTCCACGCTTGATTTACACTCTGCAGGCAACGGAGGCTGCTCGTCCAGACAGTCGTCGCAGAAGTAGCACTTTAGGGCCCCGGTGCTGTACACAGCCACCATCAGCAGCAGCGAAGTAATCAACCACAAACGAGCCATCTGCAAATATTGTCACGCATTTAGGTAAGTTCCGTGTGCGATCTTGTTTATTTCTGCGGAAAACGAGCACTTTCCAGAAAGTTAACTTACGGCAAAGTCGACAGCAAGCAATTAAGTTCGCACCCGATTACTTTAGGTTTCATTGAGTACCTACTTCGCCACGAAGCTTTTCCCTGTCGATTTGTTGATACAAATTTGGTTGATTCATGAAAAGGCAGGACACAAAATTATTTATGCATGCAATCTCAAATTCATTGGAATGATTTGAAGATTCGACTTTTTCTTCAATACGTTTTATTAAGATATTTCGGTAAATCTTCGGAGAAGAAATTCAGGCACTGAACCTGAATTAAGAACAATAGGGACGGTTCAACTGCCGTCAATAAAATATATAATTTTAAGCGAATATCCATGTTAATTGCTCGATCTCCCATGCAAAAGCTTTAATTATTAATTGATTCTGGATAAATTCATGTGTTTTCAGCCATCAAATTAGGATTAGAATCATAAAAACTAAATCAGGCACAATAAACGAACTGAAAATATAACGTACGGCACGTTTAACTATGTTGATTATATGTACGCAATATACTCGAGCAGCAAATCGTTAGGCTAGTGCGTTCATCCACTAATTTATGTGTGGAACATTTTCTGCGTCAACGTTGTGACTAGCAATGAAAATAAGTGAATAAATGAGAGGAATAATTGTCTTAATTCCAGCCAACTGTGAAATTGAGATGCAGCGTTTTGAATCTGTGACGTCATCATATAGAGATCATTCCACGAATGCAGGTGAAAATGAAATTGTTTGTTTGGGTGATGATTGGGACTTATGTACGTCTACTTGCTAATAATTTGCTCTCCTTATCACTTTACTAAACTTTTTAAATTCAAAATAAAGCCTGTCAATGGATCCCCTTAAGTAACAATATCGTCGGCTGCCCAAGACGCAACTGATCCCCAGACGTGAGGTGGGTGGTTAACAACCGAGTCTTCAAAAAGCGGATCTGAAAAATAATTCATGATCTTCCATAATTTATGATCTTAAATAGTTTTTTGTTTTGCGTTATAAAACATTATAGCTATCGATAGCTTGAAAACACAGATAAATGCAATGGTTGAACAAGTTTGCTCGTCGCGCCGTACATTCTGCTCGCTCACTTTTATTTTTTAGTTTTCTTCAATCGCAATTTAATCAAGAATTTAGAAAAAAGAAATTAAAGTCACCATATCTTCACTGAAAGCGTTTCATACACCAAATAATGGAGTAGGCATTAGAAACGTTTTAAATGAAGATACTGTGAACGTACTTAGCATTTTCCTCGTATTTACATTCTTCACATATAATTTTAGGGCAACTGTAGAAATTCAAAGCTTGTAACCTTAACACGCACGGCTAAGACATATTCCTAGGGTTCATTACAACAACTTATTAAAATAAAACAAGATATGCTCTGAACTGAATTTAATCAAAATTTGGGACCCTTGTTTCATTTACGTATATCGGGTTAGTTTGTCACGTTTAAAAATAGGAACATATTCTTAATACAGATTTACTTAATTAAAGAAAATGATATAATAAAAAGCATCATCGTGAAAATTTCAGAGGGTAAAAAGTACGTGTAATATTAAATTAAACATTCCAAATTATTAAAATTACATATTTCAAACAATTTACACTGAATCAGAAACTAAAAAGACGATATTTAACACACATGCGTTATCCTCAAAAACGTGAATACGTTTTTCGATAAGACATATTAGGTGCCGGAATCATCAAAATGAACTTAAAATTAATAGAACACAATAAGTTATCAACGATATAACTTGATTATCGCAATAGTTTGATTGAACTTAGGCATCATATAACCAACAGTAATTTTATCTCCTAACAATTTTGTTACGAGATACGCTGGACATTATCATCACTCACTTGACTATACGAGAACATATAAGTTGACTATACGAGAACAAATAAGTTGACTATACGAGAACAAATAAGTTGACTATACGAGAACTCCTGCGTGCGAACGTTCGGAAGATACGGGTGACTCTGGTCTACTATCGTGCAAGTCGCATGAATAGTGAAGCGATGTCTTCACACTACACATCTCTAAATGAATCTTGAGATGAGTCACTGCTGATACGCTCTTGATAAGATAAGGACGCTGCGGCTCAGGATTTACACTAAAACTGTTAATTAAAAATAAGTGTCGAAAAATATCCAGTATAGATATCAGGAGAATAGTTTATAATGTATTTAATGCAAAGCTACGACTCTTGGAATATTCATGTTTTATTAACAAAGTTGAAACCTATCGTTTACATGTGGCAAGTGTATATAGATACAAAGCATAGAATATTATGATACTATCAATAAAATTATGATCTAATGTATTCACGTAACGTTTTTATTAATATAATTTACACACCTTGTGAAATTTTTCTTTGCACCCCGTTGAGTAATTTCTGTTAGAATGAAACTATTTGATTTGAACTATTTGAGATTTGAACCATGGTGTATCATTTGAAAATCAAACATTTAGATGGTCGGAACAGCGGCTTGAACTGCTTCTCTATGCTGCAGAACTTGGAACATTGCAATAACAGACATTTTCATTTCCGAGCATATCTTTGCGTTCACTTTTTCTGCGCCGAGTTCAACATGAGCGTCAACGGTTCTACTGTTATTTCTTTACCTCCTGTCATGCTCCTCAGTGCCTGAAATATTTTCCTAAATTGACTTCAAATTCATGCCTGTTTTACAGTACGGCAAAAGCCTTGACATAAACTACCATTCATAAATCAACGGGGCTTACAATTTCCATGTAACATGTATTGAATCAGAGCCCAAAGTTGTGTTTATATAAGTGATGACTGTAAATGAGGGTGTAGGCCGTCCGGTAGCACAGGCAACAAGGCGGCGGTCGAGATTCTTGCGCAGTCCCGTTGAACTGATCACGTCTCATCGTCATCGGTAAATTATAAATTCAACACAAATAGTCACAGATGGTTACGATTGGTGGTTTATAGCACTTTTATATTGTGATTTACGAATAAACCATTTATCTTCAGGGTAATTGATTAATTTGTAGAGCTCAACACAGCGATGCCTTCGAAGTGTGGGTAAACAATTATCAAAATCTAGCATCTAGCAATTATCAAAAGCAATTAGCAATTCAATCAATTAGCAATCAATTAGCAATCAATTAGCAATCTAGCAATTATCAAAATCAGTGTTAACTGAGCATCCACGAGAGCAGGTTGTGTGGTGCCTAGAGCTCCTCGATTGCTTGTTGTTTGCTCTGTTGCCTTGCACGTGCGTTGCTCCCATTCTCTCGTCTCGTTTTTGCTGACGCGGCGATTTTATTATTGACACGTCTTTCTACTGAGTGTGCTCGTTATTCTTTTGCGGCGTGCCACTTGCTTGACTTGTTGCACGTTGTATCCGATCTAGCATAAGCGTAATTTTGATTGTAGCCACAGCAGCCGTTCCGTCTTGGTCTTCGCCTAACCTTATGGAAACGGCCGAGGGATGGAGGGGAGAGGACGCGGGTGCCTGAGTTGCTCGACTGTTAACAACAGGAAGAGGACAGTTAGTTGTTCTTCGTGTGAGGGATGTTACCATCTCTCATGC